AGAAAATAAAACCTAGGAGCAAAGAGTCGGCATGCCCTTCTTCTGCCTTCCCATCCCTGAGTACCCGAAGATTCTTTCTTCAGCTCTCCTTTCCTGGAAACTTGAGTGGGGTAGAAGGAAAAGCATAGCTAGGTGTCATTCTAATGAAGAGCATATTTGTCTCCTCCATTTCTGACCCTCCCTGATGGCGCTCCAGAATTCCAATCCCACATGATTAACAAGCTCGTTTCCCTTTCTGTTTGAAGGTCCATTCTCCTCTCAATTTCAAATAGTTTCTGAGGTACAAAACTGCATTTCCCCACAAGAACTAGTTCCCTTTTTTTAGAAGGAAGTGCTACTGTCCTCTCAAGCCACCCAGCTTAAAAACTCAAGATGACCGAACAGCAAAGATGGCAGCCTGCTCCTCCATCTGGGAGTTCTGGCCCAGGGAGTTTTCAAATTTCTGTAGGCTGGAGAACACCAGTGGGAATGGCTGGAGGCCCCGGTTCACAGGTTCCACCCAGTGAAAAGGAACGAGATTGGAGACCTACTTTATGAAGCGGTATAGTCAGGCTTTTGTGGAGCAGCTGTGTGCTGTGCTGGGGTACCACTTCCACCCTGGTCTACTCAGCATCTCCAAAGCCCACAGGCTGGAACAACTACAGCATGGAAAATGCCCATTCCTCTCTTTGGGAGCTCTCTATTCAAAAGAAGACATACATTTGGCTAACAATCCTATGAAAAAAAGCTCAATATCACTGATCATTAGAGAAATGACAATCAAAACTACATGAGATGCCATCTAACACCAGTCAGAACGGCTATTATTAAAAAGTCAAAAATTAACAGATGCTGGCAAAGTTGCAGAGAAAAAGGAATGTTTATACACCATTGCTGAGAGTGTAATTTACTTCAGCCATTGGGGAAGATAGTGTGGCAATTCCTCAAAGACCTACAGACAGAAATATCATTTGACCCAGCAATCCCATTACTGTGTATATACCCAAAGGAATATGAATTATCCTATTATAAAGACATATGTACATGTATGATCATTGTAGCACTATTTATAATGGCAAAGACATGAAATCAATCTAAATGCCCATCAATGATGGACTGGATTTTTTTTAAATGTGATACATATACACCATGAAATATGACATAGCCATAAAAAAGAAAAAGATCATGTCTTTTGCAGGGACATGGATGGAGCTGGAGGCCATTATCTTTAGCAAAATAACATAAAAACAGAAAACCAAACAGTGCATGTTGTCACTTATGAGTGAGAGTTAAATGAGGAGAACACAGGGACACATAGAGGGGAACACCACACACTGGGGCCGACTGGAGGGTGGAGGGTAGGAGGAGGCAAAGGATCAGGGTGAATAACTAATGGGTACTAGGCTTCATACCTGGATGATGAAGTAATCTGTACAACAAACCCCCATGGCCTAAGTTTACCTGTGTAACAAACCTGCATATGTACCCCTGTACATAAAATAAGAGTTAAAAAATAAAATAAATAAAAACTCAAGAGCAGCTTGGCTGTCACTATAATTATTATTATTTAGTTTTCTTTTTTATTGAATGACTCCTTCATCCCTTGATTCATTTCCATTTTAATTCCTACCACTCCTCATTGATTCATGTTCAGGTTATTGAAACCTATTTCCAAGGAGCTCTCCTGGTGTCCTGTTCCCTATTCTCTAATCTGCCTGTACCCTGTGCCCTGGAGCAACCCCCAAAAGTATGGATTTCCACAATCAGCTCTTGGTCAGAACCGTTTTGAACCTTCTGCTATCTAGCAGCTGAAGACTAAATCCCTTTAAAGCTTCCACAGCCCAACTTATTCCAGCATTATCATCCAAAATCCCCTAGAATACCCTCCATAGAATACCCAATATCCCTCTTTTCTTTCCAGCTACACATGAAAAACAGCCCATTGAATTTCACTTCCTAATTCTTGTGCTTGATATTCCCCCGACTTCAGTGTTTCCCAAACTTCAGGCATTCTGACACCTCATCATGATTTCTCCATTACCAATTGCCACCTGAACGACTTTTTACTTAATATTTTCTGTAAATCCACTCTTATTTTTGGTAAGATAACTATTTAAAAGGTTAATTTTTATTAGTACCATAAATGAAAAAACTGGTATCTATTTTAAGAAATAGGCAATAACTATATATAAATGTTATTTTAAGGAAGTAATTGGAGTAATTAAATTAAACCAAGTACTTTCTAACTGCTAACATTTATTGCTTATTTTGTGAGGGTCATAAAGGAAGCTTAAACAAGTGTTTAAAGAATTTTAAGTCATATCAAAAACAACAAAACTTATTTCTGAAGAATTGAAAGTAAGTCAAAAAATACAACTTTCTCAGTCTGTCATCTTAATGTTATTGATCAGTCCACATGTTCCCTAAAATCATTTAATGTGCACAAAGTTTAGAAAACATTGCTGTACATGAGATACTTTCATTACCTCTTCCTATCGATCTCAAGTCTGCACATTTTTCCAGGCCTGCCTAAAGTTCCACAACCTCCCACAATGTCCTCTTAAAATTCAGGGCACTGTGACTGCCCCTTCCTCTGGCAGCCTGGGTACGCCTCTCTTCTGTGTTTTAGGAAGTCACTCCACTCTGCTTTTGAGTGTCTCGTATACAAGTTTTCAAGTTTATTATTTTTCTGGTCTCCAGTGATTATAGTTCAAAGCAAGGTTTATGGAGATATCTTTTAATCCCCTGATACTGGGTATCACACCTCCTGGAGTGACTCTATGAACAGCATGAATGACTGATAAATTAGCACTTCCTCTCTTTAACTATTCATGATGACATATCTCGGCTAGCAGATTAGGATCCCCTCAAGAGCTGCACATGAGTTTCTTCTAAGCTCTAGACCCAGCCCAGTGGGAGTATATTGCACGACTGCTAGAAATCTTTATCAAATGAATAAATGACAGTTCCTAGAGACACTGTACCATAGGCAGCATTTGACAACCAAAACAGAGCTGCCCTTTTAGAAGTATACTGTGTTCAGTGCCTCTGCAGCTTTCCTCCACCTTTGGAGAACTGCAAGTTTCATTCTAACGCTACCCTGGACTTGCTGACATAGTGTTTACATTTATTAATATAGGACATATCACATATAAAACTCTGCAGACTCAACTTAAATGCCAGTTGTTATCACCTTCAGTTATCACCAAATACCACAAGGGACGTTTAGTCTTAACAGACCTCTAGGCATATCTGTGGTCTTTCAAGAAATAATTCTCTAAAAATTCAACAGACATGTCTTCAAGTTCAAAATCAGTATAATTCCAAAACGTCTTTTGTCCTCCAAATCAGCAAATAAATTTTAAGGTAATATAGTGTTTAACAAACTTTGCCTTGGTAGTTTTAATTATCTCTAAAACACAAACAGATAAAAATATTCTATTTATAAATTATCTACAATGACGGTGAGAAAACTGGAATACATTTGCTTAAAGTTTTAAAAACAAGTCATAACAAGCTTTCAAGCAAATTGTAACTAATAATTATGACTACATAATTTCTTGATTCTGTATACTACCCATGAAATCATATTAAAAATCACTATTATAAATAAAAGATAGTAATGTAATAAAGTTAAGGGGGGGGGGCATAAAAGAATCACCACTGAGGTCAAGACGACTTTAAGAATATACCTGAAATGCAGCCTTGTCACCTAGTAATTGCTATGTAAATACCAGACACTAACATAGGTAAGTCAGTATCAATCCTAAATTAGATTGATATGTTTAGGGAATTAGGAAGACCTTTAATAAATGGAAGGCATTGAAATGTTCACTACATGCTTTTTGATCTTAAAAATAAAGATTTTTAAATCTATTTTTATTAATTGTAGTTAAAAAAAATACAATTTACCATCCTAACCATTTGTAAGTATTTCACTTACAAATTGTAAGTTCAATAGTATTAAGTACATTTAAATTGTTGTACAATCTCCAAATGTTTTTATCTTGTATACTGAAACTCTATATCCATTAAACAAATCTCATTTCTCCCTCCCCTAGCACACTGGCAACTACCATTCTACTTTATTCTACTTTTCATTTCTGTGAATTTCACTACTCTAAATACCTCATGTAAGTTGAATCATCCAGTATTTGTCTGTTTTTTTTTTTTGATGCTTTCCAAGCTTAATTGAAACTTAATTAGAATGAAGCTGTTATACTCCATCATTTATCATCTAACTACCTATTCAGTACAAAGCACTGTGCTAATTTCATGCTATTGACCTAATGAGGTAGGTTATGCACACTTTACAGGTGAGGAAACTGAGACTTTGCAAGGTGAAACATCTTGTCAATGGCCACAGTGGGGCTCTGATTGCAACTTTATCTAACTTCAAAACACAGTCTTTTTAACACATCTGTATGCTTTTTGAAATATTTAAATTTTTCAGGAGATTTCAGCTGTCTACATATTTGAAACAACTCAGAATCTTTTGTTTTTTGCCTTTAATGGTTAATGTCACATGGGTTCCCCCTTTTTAAAAATAAACTACTTTATTCTAAACCATGTCTCAAGGTATTCTATTCTGTCTTGAGGTTTATTCTAACACATGTCCTATAAGCCCACAGAATACCACTTACCTTCCCTCTATTTAAGCAGGCTTGATTTGTTAAGCAGTTGGTTTGTTAAATTTATCTGGAAATTATATAACTTCCTAGTGAGTACTACGTATCAATAGTGAAAGGAATATTATTTGTTTAAAAGCAACACTTACATTTGTGGAAATGATCCCCAGCTTCTTCATTCAGACACACGGTTTTAGTGAATAGAAGTCACTCTAGCACAATCAGGTACTTTTCAACCATGCCTTGCTCCATAGGTAGGCAGGCACCTGCACCCTTGCTTCCTGAGCCACCTGGGACTTGGAGTTCTACCAGTGTGGCTCCAAGACAGCCAAACCAGAAACCCCAAAAGGCAAGAGAACTACCATACCCACAATTCAGGCTCCTCACCTGAAACCAGAGGAGGGTGTTTGGCTAGAGTTTCACCCTAAGAAGACAGGAGAAGCAGGTAGAAAAGCAATTTAAAAAATCAGGTGGGTATATCTAAGAACAATCTGTAAATGTAATCCTATGTCTGTGAAAGGAAATAAAACTGGTTTAATGTTTGTCAGGAAATAAGCCTCATTGTTGGCAGTAACTAAAAAATCTTTATGCAAACAAATCCTCATGCAGCCAGAACCTGCCGCACCGGATTCTCTTTCGGTGATTCAGAGCTGAAGGCACTTCACTGCCCTGTGAAACAGGTGAATGAAGACTTCCTGGGTGAGTGACGGTGTCTAACTAGTTCCCCTACATCAGCACTGTGACTGTCACTCAAAGATGCTATAGACACAATGGAGACTGTTTGACATTTCTTCTTCTAAAATGCTCTGGATTTTTTAAAGAGCATTTTAAAATGTAAGCAAGAATAAACTTCTTTTTCTTGATATTTTTCTTCCATTTTACGATCCATTTCCGTGTTTTGTGTTTTCCTTCTGTATATTTCAGTATTATTTTGTTCAAAATTCAAGAATGAGAAAATTAGGGGAAAGGGGATAAAAAGTAAAACTTAGTAAAATGAAATGTGCAATAATTGCTTCACTTTTTTTTTGCAACATCAGCAACAAAATGTTAAAAAGAAATGTGCTTCTCAATTTGTTCATACAGCATCTCTCTCTCTCTCTCTCTAGCCTATTATTTCCTATTAGACACATTCCAGAAAAATGAATAGAGACAAGCCCTGGCTTGGTGTGGTTTCAGAAACGTAACAGAAGGATTAATCTAAAGTAAAGAGATGGCAGAATGGTGACAAAGAAAAATTTCCCTTTCCCTTTTCTGCACTTTCTCTCCTACCGTTCTAACTGCCCCTTCCACCTTAACGTGTCCTGTCCCGGGGCTTCATGCGCCCAAATCACCGAATCCACCCAGATTCCCTTTGAAGTTTCCCCTTGAGTCATCCCACAATCCACACTGAGCTGCTCTGTTTCTCTTTATCACAGGTTCCTCAACTCTCTACTAGAGCCTAGCTTTCATTTATGTCATTATATTCCTTCCAAAACAAATGGTTCTTAATTTCCCCAAACCCTACAGGTGGCATTCTGCATGCTGTTTCTTCTCTCTGAAATCATCTTTGCTCATCTTTAAATGTTCAGAAATTTCCTTTTTTTCAAAGCTCAATGAAAAACACTCTTCACCAAGATGCCCTCCTCAGTCTGTCTTAATCTGGGTTGTTCTCTTCCTCCTTATCAATTCCATAATATTGTATCTGCTCCTCTCATAACACATTGTATATCTCATTTCATTGGTTTACGTGGGTGTGTGTGTACATATGCAGTCTTACATTTCTATTTGAAGGCAAGACCTTATTGTATCTCCACCTCATTAACTCATTAATGTACATGTAGGTGTTTGTGATAAACAATCAATAAATAAAATAACTGAAAGACTAACTCTGAGGTGTGTGTGTGTTAATGCCTAATGCCATCTTTCTCTCCCCCAGAAAACATTTACATTTAAAGAAATCTCTAAATGCCATACATAAATACTGTTATCAGAATCCCCCTGCAGTCTAGTCTTGTGTGGCTTCCACAGCTTTTATTTGCAGAAAGGCAAGGTATTAAATCCAGCAATTCAACCCTTGACAGTACCCAAAATGAAAGCCCTATTAAGTCAGCACTGACTGTTTTACCACCTCCAATCCCTGATGTGTACTTGCTTCCCTAACAGCTTCCCAAGGACTGGGCTCCCTAGAGTCCTTAGTGTCATGGTCTTGAAGACCTGGCCCTACCTCCATCTATGATTTTTTATTATCAGCATTTATGGGTCCCTTCCCCTATAATCTAATCTACTGGCTCTAAAGATTGAACTCTGCTCTTTGGACTAAATAGTTCTTAACCACTGAAGTCCTTTACCAAGGGAAGGGAATTCTTTCAACAGTTGCTAGTTTCTTATACCTCTGCCTCTATGGGATTCTCCTGGTCCCCAAATGCTCTGCTGTGTCTTCTAGATGTCAGCCACTGTGGAGAAAGTGAACCTTCTAGATCCCGCCAATTTATACAATGAGTTTTGTGTGGACCATCAGACACAAAGGCTGACTGGTGAAGGTGACTGTTGTCTGGAAAGTTTTCCCAGCTCTCCTCTACTTATCTCATAAGGACCGGTGGCCCCTTAGCTTGCTTGCGTGAACATTACCAGCTATGTAAAGTTGGGCCGTCAGCTCATCCTCAGCACATGGCTCAGGATCCCTTTCTTAAGAAAGTCTCTTCTGACCTCCTTATCCCTACCGTGTTTCTTGTTCTGACTTATGCAATGGTCACAACCAACACAGAAGCTGAAATTCCAGTGACTCACTATCCCAGCTGCCCTTGTAGATCAGGAAGAGGCAAAGCAGTTAGAATGACAATCAGACACAGCTATCTGGGGCCAGGAATTAGGAACTGGTGACGTAAAGAAACGGGGACAGAAGAGAACCCACTCTATGGTGAGCAAGGCAGCTGTGCAAACAACATGCTGTTCCGGATGCGACTGTGGTGGCTGTGGGGTACAGGGTCCAGGGCTCATGGTACTGGTCATGCAAGTTGTGGTTCCTAGGCCTTAGCAGAAACAATTAACCTGTTCAGTGATATTATTTTGGCTGCTGCTCTGGCTTCGTAAGCCATGTGCCTGATCCTTCAGCAATTCTGGGACTGGAGTTTGGTGTGTTGCTCTTCAGTTTAGATCTGCCACAGTCATTTGATGTTGCCTGAAGCTAAAAACTCTGAGTGATATCTACCTGTCACACAGCTCTTACCACATTGTCACTACCTACCCGACTAGATTGAGACTCCATCAGATCAAGGACTGGATTTTATTTATCTCTAAATATCCTAAATCTCCACAGTGCCTGGCTATAGTACATACATATTTTGACCTAAATTGAACAGATCAATAAAATGAGGAAGTCTCACTCAAAGTTCCTTCTAACCTAAAATTTGTCTGACCACATGGAAGCTGTCAGGTTGCTCATGAATGCAGAGGTAATATTTTTCCCTTAACTAGGGTCAGAATTTAGACTCTACCCCTTCTCTCTGTCTCAGAGGGAACAGAGTTAGTGATTCCCTCCACTGGAGAGGGAACTCAAACACACAAGCTATTGTTTGTTATATACTAATCAAAAGAGGTTTTTTTTTTTTTCTTTTTTTTTTTTTTTTTTTTTTGTATCTTTTAGTGGCCTGCATCATATGTTAAAGTCACTCATGTTCAGCCTCTATAATACAAATACACCAGAAAGAGTGATAGGAAACAGCATATTCCCCCACATGTTCAGATTGTTCTCAGTATGACATTATCTTGGAAAGAGAAAGGCCACATTTGCAAGCTTAGAAGAAAGTTCCCCCTGGAGTTTTTACTCTGTCCTGTTTCAGTATGTATTGACTCTCAGAACCTGGGCGGCTATGACATCCGTTTTCTGGGTCACTTTGTCCCTGAGTCATTATCATCCTGTAACTTTCTGAAAACATTTGACTGTGCCATTTACAAGCTAATTTCAGTGAACAGCTTAAATCATAGTAAAATGTTAGGGCCAGAGTAAATTTAGGTCACAATAATTTTATTTCCCTAGATTAAGAAAGAGAGCCAGGTAGTTGTAACAATTTCATAGTTTCCTTCATTACATCTTTTTGGAGCTTTACTCAACCATAAGATGAATCATCCATAAATTGACCCCCACAAAGCTGAGGTTTAGATGTTCATCACTGTTTTCTTTCATTTGTTGCTTTCAGGATAACATGCACAGAAATATGGGCCAACTCTTCACATGAGCACAAGATATTTCCATGCTAGCTTTTTGCAAGTAACTGACAACAGAGAGAGCTCTATGCAGTTTTCACTGGAATGCCTATGGATTACTTGTGCCGTAACTGTAATCTAAAGAGTTGTCCATTTGTTGAATCCTCCCTATTTGTATTGGTAGAATTGGCACTATCAAACCAAGATCATTCTTTGGAAAGATCTTTAGCTGTCTTTATATCAACTTCTCTGGAGCGTATGTGATTTTCCAGAAAATTTCCAAGACGTAATTTTGTCCCTAAGTCCCATGAATATGTAATATTTTGTGTCTCTCTATTAAAATAGCACTTTTGTGCATTGCATCAACAATAATGTGCATGTGGTGGTGTGTGGACAAGCATATTAATGACTTCAGCCACTTCAGTGGGAAAAATAATTTACTCTTGAGTTTCTAGAATACCAGATAGTAAGTAAGTTCTATGAGAATGGAATATCAATGTTGAATTGTATTCTATAAAGCTCACAATCTAGAAATCCAAGACAAAGGGGTGGCAGATATTCCTAATTCATTTCCAAATATGTTTAGATAATAGGCTTCATTATATATGTATAAATATCTTACACATTTTACCCAAGAGAATGTCAAATTTTTAAAAAATATTAACATCTATTCACATACTGCTATGTTCTGTGGACACCATCAGTGAGATTTTACAGGAGTAGTTAAATTTTTCTGACAATTGGAAACTCTGTAAGAAAGAAGCAGTGCATTTTATATCCTGGGAATATTCTCTCTTATTTTGCATGCTTCTAATAAGTATTATACCACAGTGAGCTCTATTCTCTAACTTAAGATTAAAAGGTTGAACACAAAGACACAGATAGGTTCACTGACAAGGGGCCAAATCCCAATGTTCTCTGACATAGAAGAGGAGTGCTTTAAGTTACCCATCCAACACCTCATAAGAATTTCCACCTCGGATGATGGAGTCTGCATGAGGCTGGCTTCTTACATTCTCACATATTCTTTGGTGCTAGGATATTCGTTCTAACTATATTAGCTTTCAATTGCTGCTGCAACAAATTACCACAAATTTAGTAGTTTAAACCACATGAATTTAATGGCTTTAAGTTTTGGCAGCCAAGAGACTACCACAAGTCTCACTGGGCTAAATTCTAGGTGTCAGCAGAGGCACACTTCGTTCTTTCTGGATATTCTAGGGGTAGAATCCATCCTCTTGCCTTTTCCATCTTCTAGAGGCTACCCACATTTCTTGGGGCAGATCTCTGTTTCCCTCTTCAAAGCTAGCAGCAGAAGGCTGCATGCTCTCAGTCATATCTCTGATCCTTCACATCTTTCTCAATGACTATAGCAGGAAAGCCTCTCTGCTTTGAAGGAGTCATTATTACATTGAGGCCACACGGATAATCTGGATCAGCCCTCCCCACCCCCCATCTCAAGGTACAGACCCTTAATAACAACAACAGATTTCCTTTTGCTATGTCAGTAACATATTTACACATACCAGGGATTGGGGCGAGGACATTTTGGAGGGGGCATTGTTCATCTACCATACAGGGTTACTCCCTCAGGAAATTCTCCATATGATATTCTAGGTTGCAGTTGAATCCTGTATAGGCTACCCATTAGGAAAAAGAGAGTCCCCTGATTTGCTACAGGGCCTGTGTTAGAATAAGAAGTACGACTGAAGAAGCATAAAGAAAGGCATGGTGTCCTCAAAACATCACCTGCCTCTGGGCTGTCACCTATTATTTCATTATGATAAGATGATTCAGTTTCAAACATGGTTTGTTCTCAAGAACAATTAAATTAGTTAAACAAGATGATATTGAAACAGAAATACAACTTAGAGGGATTGCTATGGCAAGAATTCATCAATTGACATTTTGGCAAGGGTAAGTTTATGAACAGAGCTGAATGGGGAAGGATAATGGGAGAATTAATGGAGGAATATTTATTTCTTGGAATAAATGCAGGAATCTGCTTCCATCAGAAAGAATTGTCTCTCACACATGGTTCCTTTCTACTGAAAGAGCCAAGCCATGGATACAATTTTCCATGCCTGGTACTATATGACTCCATTGCCCCGACTCACCACAGATAACTGACCACAGATAACTGGGTGGAAAATTGATGTTCACACTCAAACTGACCATCTTCAACTAGATCGGGATTTTAAAATTGTATTGAAAGTAATGGCAAAAACCTCAATTGCTTTTGCACCAACCTAATTGTCCAGTTTGTGGATCATTAATCAATTTACCAACATTTTTAAGTGAAATAGAATAAACTGAAATAGAATGGAATGCTTTCTGTCTTATTGTGGTACTTATCCTGGTATTGCAATACTCCAGAGTTTGTACGTCTACTTGAAGTTTTCTGCTTGCATGCCAAAGAAAGATAATTTGATTGGTTGGTTAGTGGTTACTATGCCATATAAAAATAGCCTAATAAGACATAGCTTTCATGCTAGATTATTTTATAATAATAGATGAATATAAATAGATGAAATGAATAGAGTAGAATAGATCAGAATACATTGAACTAAAAAGGGTCAGTGTTGTTTCATGAACTGTTCATTCTAATGTGTATGTGAGTATATGTGTGTGGGAGGGGGGTGGTGGGGTGTGTGTTTGAGTGTTGAGTCCAATATAAAGTAGTTTACTTTCTGTAGGCAAATTTAAAAACCACACAGATAGTGGGCTTATAGAATAATCTAGCATGAAAGCTATGTCTTATTCAGATATTTTTACATGGGATAGCAACCAACTAACCAACCAACCAATCAAATTATCTTTCTTTGACATGCAAGCAGAAAGCTTCAAGTAGAGGTACAAATTCTGGAGCACTGCAAAACCAGGATAAGCACCACACCAAGACAGAAAGCATAAACTATAGACTACTCAAAAATGCAGTAGCAGAGAGTAGCAGGGTGGAAGGCTGGTGATTGGCAGTGGCAGGAGAAACAGACAGAGATGGAAGCAGAATAAGAGACAAGCTAGTCACAGGAATGGTAGGATCCCAGAATGAGGCAATATTAGACACACATTTCTAAGAGCAAGGCAAGGTAAGCTGTTAGTCATTCTCACATTCAACAAATACTTATTGACTGCTTACTGTGTGCCAGAGACTGCGCTAAGAGCTGGATATATTGCATTGAAGAAAATAGACACAAATCTATGGTTTTATGAAGACTACATCGTAGAGGATTGTACTAAGAGTTATATTCCAAACTGTATTTAAGTTCTTCCTGAATGTACACGTGTTAGTGACTTATTGTGCTTCCTAAATATGTTCTCCAACCTTTCAACACACCTTCATTATTTTTATTTCTTGCAACATGAAATAACCTAATGAATGTGGCCCACATAAAAGTTAATTGTTGAGAGTTTTGCCTAGGGTCAGTTGTAAATGTAGAAAGGTCTTATTTTAGTGACTAAAGCAAGAGCTTATCTCACCTTGTGGATGGCACTGGGTCCAGAAAAGAAGAATGAGTTAAATTAAATAGAGCAAAACTCTCATCATTGTTTCTTCTTTACTCATTGCAGAATTTATTTATTCATTAATGTTTCAATAATTGATTCTTTATAAGGAGCCAAGAATTACTTATTAGTCAAAATTTGCCTAACTCTGTAAGCAATTCTCAAGGCATATCCCTCCTATCTTTTTAAGAAATATTTAACGTCAAGTGTCTCTTGGGTTTTTAGTATATTTTACCTCTTCCTCTTATCTGAATCCTTCCTATCCATATGTCTCTCCAATCTCCTCCATTTTTTAAAAATAACAAACATTATTTACATCTCTCTCAAGCAACTATGATCGTCTTTGCTCCCTATTGCTGATCAATGTTTTGACAGAATCGCTTCATTTATACTTGCTGTTCATTCAGTTCTCAGCCCTTTTTAATCAGAATTTCCCCTTCTCTCCTTAGGACCATTTTTCTAAATTCAATGAATTTTTTTCAATCTTTATTTTTCTTGCTTTCTCAGCAGATGTTCAAACTTGTCAGAATGGTCTAAATTGTGCTACAGATGAAAAAAAAAAAAAGCAACAAACAAAAAAACTTCTAAAATCTCAGGCTCACGACATCAGATATTTCTTTCTTGTTCAATTTGCCTGTCCACTGACAAGTGGTGAGAGGACTTTGTCTTAATCACTCAAAGATTTAGACCATCTGAGCAGCCTCCATTTTGAACATTGGTATCTTCAAAGAGGGAGATCTCTGGTGAACTCTACACAGGCAATTATAAACTCTTCCCAGAATCAACACACATCCTTTTTGCTCACAAGTCTTTCGCCAAAACTAAACACAGTGCCACACCCACCCACAGTGAGTAGATGTTCCCATGTTCCCAGAGGCAGAGGGCTGGAAAAATGTGATGAGTTGGCTGCAGTTTTAACAGTGAAGATTACTGATCATGTCTTGGAACTTACTCTCCCTTGGCATCTAAGAAACCACACTCTCTCAATGCCTCCCTCTCCCTGTGGCTGATCCTCTTCTGTCCTTGTAGCCTCACTCTCCTCCCTCTGCTCAGCTTGCCCTAGCACCTCATCTCATTCCCTGAGCAATCTCATCCTTGTCAGTGCTTCTATTACCTTCCATTCATTAACAAAATTTTAAATCTGTGTCCCAGTCCCTCTCTGAGCCAAGATGCAGAGGTCCAGTTCTCCTCATTTCTGTCTATATATCTCAGTCTTAAACTGGACTTGTAAATTCGCCCCCAAATGTCTGCTACTTCAGGGAGTGTGGCACCATGAGCCACTCAATTTTGAAGACCAAAATCCCAGGACCCATCTTTCTGCCTTCTCCTCTCTCTTTCCATATCTAATCTATCGGCCTCTTGCTGTCAGGTTTACCTCCTAAGTAAATCTCACCTGGATTCCTCTTGCCATGTGCACTGACACTGCCCTACTCCAAACTACCCACACTTTTTACCTGGGATACTACAGTAGCCCAGCTGGCCTCTCCTTGTGCACTTTGGTGGTCAGTAAATCATTTCTTACATTAAAAATATTTTTTTTCCCAAAAAATGTAAATGTAATTCTTCTGCTTTAAAATTCTTAAATGACTTTCCTTTATTCTCAGGGTGAAGCTGAAATCTGTATTTAGCCAATAAGGCCTTCTGTGGTCTCGTGAGTTCCTTCCTCTCTCTCCATTCTCATCAAGTGCCTCTGTAATGATTTGCTCTGCTCCAGAGGACCTATTTTAGTTCTTGAAATTTTCTTAGTTTTCTTCCACTGAAGAAATAAGTAAAATGCTCTACCTGAAAGGCTTTCATCCCTCTTTACCTTTGGATTTTGCTCTCCCACAAAAAAAAAAAAAAAATCCTCCTTTAGAGTATCTATA